TTTCCTTCAAAATATTCATACTGCATTTATTTATAAATAGCATGAATTATTTGCAAAAGTGAGTGCTCATTATAGTTTGCCTCAAATATTTAGAAACTACTACACCTCTACAAAAAGAGCTCCAATCAGTGGTGCAAAGTGATCTCTGCCTGTGCTGTGGTTTTTGTTATCATAATAAGGAGAGGTGAATGAGAGGACGATGACATGTGAGGTTAGCCACATAACCTTGTGCTTCAAACCAGCTGGTTTGATGTCTGAGTTTCCCTTTGTTTTGATAAATATAATCTGAACATCTTATCAGCAATGAGGTAAATACAAAATGTTTGAGCTTTTATCGTCCTGATGGAAGAATTTCTTCTTGATGATACTGTGTCAAACATGGGAGTCACTTATTACTTACTGAAGCAAAATTCTGGATAAAATTAAGTGATACCAATACATATGGGAAAGTGTGACTCTTGCTGCATGTCCCCTTCCTGCTGCCCTGGGCCTCTGGAGCTGCACACCAAAAGCTGCAGCAGCCTCCTATAGTTATATCCAAACAGCATATTGTGAATTTGTAGGACAATCAGACTAAAACACAAAACCCCGTCTTTTGTGGCAGTGTTGTTTCCTAGCCACCACCTCCATCTGTTTTTTACCTTCTCTGAGTAGCCTTTGAAGCTGCTGGACAATGCTAGCGCAGTTATGAGAGCTGTTGAGCTTTCAGTGGACTTGAAAGAGTTCCAGTGATTTTCTGCAAATTAAATGAAAATAAGTAACAGACTAAAGAGAGAGACTTCTTAATGTCTCCAAACTGGAGAAATAATTTTATCTTTATTAGGCAGAAGAGAGTCCACTGAGCCTCTTGGCCTCATGACACATCTGATGAGTTGTCCAAGCTTCACTGCGTTCCCTGGTTTGGAACACCTGCTGTCAGGTGCCTTCTTGCAAGGATTTCTGTGGCTTTTCACACCAAAAGCTCCCATCATTTACATTTGGTTCATGTAATTAATGGAAGGAATGTCAAGTTTTAACTTTCTGAATGTATTTTCAGTGATAAGAACATCAACTTAATTTTTTTTTTCACTCTTGAAATTCATATAAAGTCATTTAATAATCACTGACAGACAAGGTTGGTAATCCTCAACATTGAAAAGCTTAATAAGCAGATTTTAGTGGGATTTTCTTAAGCTTGAATTTTTAACTGCAGGTAGAAATTGAATGTTTTATTGAAATGTCAGTGAAAACAAAAAGAATTCAGAAAACCGCCATTTAATGTGTGCTTATTAACAGCATCTTTTAATAAATACGTGAAGAAATCTGAGAACAAAAAAAGCATTTTGACTCAAATAACCCAATAGCTCTTTTTCCAAAATTGTACAGGCCTACTGCAAAAGCTGATTAAATTGTGTTTTATCAAGAGATAGCCTTTTGTAGTTTCTGATATTTTTATCTCTTTGAATAGAATAAAACATGATTTTCACTTAAAAATTGTCATCCTTGATGGCTGGTAGTTCATATGTGTTTATTAGTTCAAGTGTTACATCTAATCAGATCATGTCTCCTAAGTCACACAGTCGCTGCTCAGACAGGAGACCTCTGAAGCGTTTGCACTGCTGGGAAAATCAAAAGATCAAGTGGCCAGCACGTGTCCTGCACGAGAGGTAGTCGCTATTGCTTCTCAGTACCAGAGATTTTCTGCTGGTGGAGCAGTCATCTTTCTGATGAAATTTAGAATTGGAATTAATGTCTTTTATGGTCATTGCCAGTGCAGTGTGGAGTTTGGCACCTACTGTTGGGAGCTTTCGGGTAGCTGCTGTGCCCCTGCTCTCACGTAGCTAAAAACAAGATGTTTGAGTAGTCTAGAGAGAAAAAATGGAGCAACTGGACCCTAATGGAATTTCTGTGTGTTTAGCAGGACAGCTGTAGTTCTGGGTGTTCTTCTTTCCTAGTACTGTAGTTTCCTCAGTCATCTGAAATGGAAGAGTCTAACCTAGAAAAAATTCGGAAAAGTTTAAAATAATGTGTCCCAGAGTCTTAGGAGCTGCAGGCTAAGTAAACAGAATCCCACCCATATAATTACTGCATATTAAATTATACATTTAGCAGCCAGTCTAAACATTTTTCCTTTTATCTTCACAATTTTTAATGTTCAAAGTCGGATAATAGCTGCACTCTGTTTCTTTCATATATCCTCCTTACCTTGCAGATCTTCCTTCTTTCTCAGCTTCTCTGCTAGGAGACAGGCACAGCCCTTTATACCTTCATCCTGAGCCCTCATGATGCAACTGTGGGATGGTTCATGCTCTTGGCCTACAGAGTATTCACAATGCAAGCACATTAAAATAGCAATAGTAGCAGAAATGTGGCCAGACCTGTTTTGTCTTCGAAAATGAAGCCTTGAAAAATAGTTATAGCTTCAGGAAGAAAGTGCCGAAGTTGCTAAGGAGGGCTTCTCAAATAAATCTTTCTGTTGAAAAGAAGCGCTTGTTATGAGTGCTACCTTGGCTTAATCCTCTCACTTTTGTTCCCTGTGATTTGTTTAATCTTCCTTCCTCACTTGGTTAGTTAGAGACCTGTTCGCATATGCTTGCAATCATAGATTGCTCCTTGCTTGTCCTCTTAAGTAAATTGGGTGATTTACATCTACGCTGCCAAAACTACATGGAATTGTTTATAAATCAGAGAAAGTAAAACCTTCCCTTTCCTCCTTTGGTCTTGAAGTCATATTTTAAGACACAGTAGGCTTTTAAATCTAAGCAAATACCTTTGGTTGTTGTTTCAGAAGTGTTTGGGATTCCCTACGGGCAGCACAGTTAGTTTTAATCAATAGAATTTATGTACGCCAATGTTGGGACCCCTTTTTAGATGTACTCTTCTGTGCTGTGTTTCATCCAACAGCTTCACAAATTGTAGTGATTTCTGGAATAAGTAGCTATGGGGAATTAATTGCCCCAATAGACTTTGAGGAATTTGTCATTTTACCCTTTTAACTTAAGCAAGGAAATAATACTTTCCACAAATATGTTCAATATGAAAACCTGAAAATAATACATATTCTATTTGTTTTCAGCTACTTGAGAGTTTATTTGCCCTTGATAGATAGTAAAATTGTGAGGGTAGTCACATATCTTTTACATATAACTACAGTTCTGAATTTGAATTCTACTTTTTGCAAGTACTCATTTACCTTCTTCTGCTTTAGTGAGTATTCCTGTGGCAAATTAATTGTGTGAGTGTGTGAAAATACCACGGTAGGACATGGAGAACAAGAAAAAAGTAGGCACAGTTGCAATGCAATGCTTTTAAAAATTAAGATGGAATTTCATTCTTATTTTGCAGATTTTGCCCAAATTACTTGGAAAAAAACTCATAAAATCCAAAGCCATGTCCCTCATGCCTCTTATGCAATTCAGAGTTACATGAGTCGCATACATTTCATGTCTGGTCTTTATGTACAAAGTAAATATTTCAAATGTAAACAATATAAATACATTTATATATATATATGTCTTTGTTAAGTCCATATCCCTTTCCTTTTAATGGAATTCTGTAGATAGAGGTTGTGGATTTTTGTTTGTCTGCACTTACTTAGAAAATACTTGGTTTACAAGTGACACTCTCTTGCATTTACACAGACATTTCTTTCCCGATATCTATAAAATTCTTACAGTGTAGGTGAAGGTTGCTGTGACTATTTTATAACTGGGAGAAAGAAAACTGTTTAATGTCTCAGTAGAGCTGATGAATAAAGTACATTTTATATATATATATATATATATATATATCTTTTTTAATATATATAAATATATATATGTTATAGGAAAGCTTACCTACATTGAAAGGTGGTATATATCCCACTTTGAATATATTAATGTATTTATGATATATGAATTTTTCATTTTATTGTTTTACTTTGCAAATCAAAGAGCTATTCTATTTCCAGTATCATTTAATCTCAGACGTGGGCAGGAGGATCACAAAGGTCATTTTCAATTTGTCAGTGTGCTCCATTAAGGATCACTCAGGTAATCACTAGTTTCCATGACACAAAGAGAAAAGAGACAGCATAAAGAAAAATGTTTGTTCCAATTCCCTGAACCTGTACATCCCTGAAATGTGCTGCCAACATGGAAAACGTGAACACTGCAGGTTCAAAGGAATGACCATGGAGAACATTTTCTGCTGTAGAGTGTTTTTTTCAAGTAAGTGGTCACAGATAGTCACTGTCTTGAGTGTCATGAGGGCAGCAAATCAGCTCCCCAACTCTGTCTCTCTTAATACCTCTTGCCCCAGAACATGCACAGCTGCACTTTGTTGGCCAAACTTTGCTGAAGGAGTGAGGATCTTTAGACTTGGGAAAAATCCTGATGCCATTGAAATAAAGAAGAGTTTTGAGGTGGATTTCTCTGGAGACAGGATTTCACATTTTGCATGGTGCTCTCAATTACATATGGCTGCATTAGGAAATCTGAATTGCCAATGTTGAGCTCAAGGATTTTGGATTAAGAGCTGTTGGAAGCTTTACCTCATTTTTAAACATGAGTGTAGCCTATATCACTTGTAGTGATATAAAGAAATGGTTAACTCAGACTTGAAACACTGGGCTGTGTTTGGGGGAAATCAATTAAATCAGCTCACTCTGTGACTCTGAAATGAGATATGATTATGTTCAAATCCAAGAGGAAGCAGCCGTACCACCTACTATGCCAAAGCCTTTTTAAAACTAGTCCTAATCTCAGCTTCCTGCTTTATCATCATACTGCTATTCCCAGAGACCATGAGTCTCTGGGACTTCATTTATAGAACTGCTTCTGTGGCCTCTCCTAAACTCATTTCTACTTCTTGCTCCTGTAGCTTCTCTCATACGTCTGTTATTATTTGTGTGAAGTAGCTCCTCTTTTATTTCAATCATTCCAGAAAATTCAGCCTTTAAGGGGGGGTTGGAGAGGAGGGAGAGCAAGTTTTATTTTATTGTACTGTTTTACCATTCACCTTATTTATATTTTTCTTCTCAGAAAACCAAAAGGGATGTAAATAACTTTGATCAAGACTTTACACGAGAAGAACCAGTATTAACACTAGTGGATGAGACAATTATAAAACAAATCAATCAAGAAGAATTTAAAGGGTTCTCTTATTTTGGAGAAGAGCTACTGCCATAGACAACATTAGGCTGATGGATGAATGATGCTACAAGAAGTGATTCTGAAGACATCATCAAATTACTGAGACTCAGTAGATCAAGAACTACTTCTTTTACCCTGAGCCCATATCCCGAGTTAAAATATATATTTATTGTTTTTTTCCTTTAATCTTCTGACCTGAAAGCACTCTTAATTTCTGTCTCACAAAGCAATGCAAAATAATTTTGTATCAGAAATTGTGGATGTAACACACTGCCATATATTTGCAACTTTTCTTTTATTCCTAAGAATAGGAATTCCTAGAGGACAAAATTGCATCTTTTCCATAGGAAATGGAGCTATGCTTTTGAAAGCAATTTAGCAGACCACGTTCTGTAATCATAATTTTTAATTAAGCTAAGAAGGTGAGAACTGTTTCTTCTGCAGTGGTGGTTATGGTGAGATCTGTACTCAGATGCCCTTTGGAAAGCAAAATCTGCCTTCATGGAGATGTAATCCTCAATTATTCATTTTTTGTGGAGAGGTACAAGCTATGAACTAGTCCAGAAAAAGAAGCACATCAGTTAAGGCTTTCAGTGAACTTCCTCATACAATATAAAGGAAGCTCTTAGGAATAAGAGACAAAAAGATAACTGAAATTTTATTTAAAGCAAGAAACAGATGCTACATGGATAGATATTAAAGGGCTAAAGAATAAAAAGCCTACAGTACTTTAACTCAGCTATATATAGCTATTTTACTGTTTTTCAGACAATTTGGTGTACTATCCATGTTACCAAATTTAATATCCTTTTAAATGAACCATTAATGTGACGGCAAGCTTGCAAATGTTTACAGTTAATTTTGCATAAAAATTAATTATAAACATTATAAATTTGCCTTTTCCATAGTAGCTAAGTTGGTAAATAATTTCTTATTTATATTTATTTTCTCAGCAGTGTGTTACTTTTGCACACTTTTACAAAACCATAATACTACTGTGTTTGTTGGGTTTTATGTTTAAAATCTAAAGAGAAATCTGCTTTTAGAAGACACAAAATACAGCTACACATGCATTATGTGGAAATGTGTTAAAAAACTGAAGATCAAACATTCACAAACTGACATTATTGAAAGCTGTAAATTGTTTTGGGTTTTTTTTTGTGTATGAATTGAAATGGTAACTCATGTGGACAATATTACTAATGTGAAGTTACCTCCTGTAGATACGCAAACAGTGTTATGTACTTATATTTCCAGGAGTATCCTGTGATTTGGTTTTGGTTTTAATCTTGTTTTTTTTTTTTTTGTTGTTGTTTTTTTTTGTTTGTTTGTTTTTGGTTTTTTTTGGGGGGTTTTTTGGGGGTTTTTTTGGTTTTTTCTGCTTACTGGCTACATCATGACCTTTATGCCTGAGGTCATTTTATTATATATTTTACTGGACTGAGTGAGCGGTCATTGGAATCCATTTTAATTGTTGCACATGGATTTCCAGCTGCACAAAAATATATATACTTGTGATTGGCAAAGTGGCACTAAAGAAGCTTTTTTGCCTTTTGTACAGGTGAGATTTTGTATATAGTGTTTGCTGCAAGGCCTGTGGAATTCATTGAATATAGAGGTATCAACTGCTGCATGTTCAGGCATACTATTAAAATGTTAGTCTATGAAAGAATAATTATAATAATGTCCATGTGCAATACTCTTGTATGTGTATTGGTTCAAGTTACTGTCAGAAAGATGAGGTTTTTGTTATAAAAGACATAGACGTATATTAAGCTATACTAAATCTCTTGTATAGTTCTCTTCAACTCTATTATGACATGATAGAGCTCAGAAAGAGAAAGGAATGTTACAAATCATGGTGGACAAAGTGTGAATCATTGGCTTTAAGAGATAATCTTGGTCTCAAGCAGATGAGTTAGTTTGTGTCAGTTTTGCATCTGGCTGCTCATAGCCTGTTACTGATGACACCATTCAGTTCCATTTTGTTTTGTTTTTAAAACTCAGGTGTAATTATTATATATATTCTTATGATTATTTCAAAATATTAAATATTATGATATATCAATTAATGTGTTGTCTGGCCTACAAGTGTAATAAGGATCAAGCCTTTAGTTTAATTTAATTTATCTTCAGTAATCTTTTGTACTGGGAAAAGACTAGCTTCTGGAGCTGAGTACCAGCACAGAAACATCTTAATGATTGCATCATCTCAATGTTTAAATCTCTTTCTCTCTTAGAAATATATTGTAGAGCTGCCCATCAATTTGTGTCTCGCCACTGGCTCTGTTTATTTCTCATCACGGTTAGCTTTTGACATCCAGGCAAGAACTGATCACAATGCTAAGGCATTCTTTTCCATGGGTGAGTAGACTGCTAGGAAGGCAAGGTATGGGATCGTGCACTACTGTTCGTCCAACAAGGGGCCTTTACACAGAGCTCTGAGCATTTATTTTGAAGGAATAAAAGCATCCCAAAAAGCTGTTGTGCAGAAGCTATGTAGTCTGTATTCCCCTTTCTAACACGAAAATAATTAGCAGATGTTCATATGTCAAGAGGCCTCAGCACCTGCAGTGCTGGGTAGGATGCTAAGAGAAAAGTGAAGGAGATAGAAACTATTGCATGGGCAGATATTTCATCCCTATGAATAGTTAGATCCTCTGCCTTGGTTTTACATCAGAAGGTCTGTCTGTTACCTTGAACATTTTTTAAAGATAACTCTTAAGAAAGGACATTCTGTTACATTTCTGCCTGTTCTGTAGAATCCTTTCTGTTCCTTCTTTGTAAAATGAGTGCAAAATGCCAAAATTATTATTCATAATAATAATTGTAAAGAATACATTGTTTCTTGGTTTTCCTCCCAAACAGACTTTAAAAATGGAAATAAATTTTTCTCCGTAGGGTGAAAAATAATTCTCTCCAAATAGGCCTAAAAATTACCTCTTTTTAAATTATGTGCAGAATAGTTCTGGCTAAATATAAAATGTATTCAGTTGGGGGGGTAGGGTTTTTTTTTTTTATTGTGAGGATTTATTTGTACAGAATTTTTTTCTTATGGATGTAATTTGAATCTCTTGCCACTCATTAGTGTTATTTCATCGTAAACATTATTACTGTGCCAAATGTACTGTACTCAAAAGGATGTGAATGTGTATTGTTTTGGAACCTAATAAATACAATGATGTTAAATCTTATTTTTTTCCCCAAAGTTTTCCTGAGTATTTCCTAATGAGGAAGAAAGATGAAGAATGAGTATTTTTCCTCTTATGTGTTGTACAAAATTTCGTAAGCTTGTCTTTTAGGAAGGATTTGCTAACAAGAGCCTCACCTGTGAAGCACTAAACACTCCAAGAAAAACACAGGTAACAGTGTGTGATCACTATTTTTCTTGGGTAATACAACATTTACCTCAAAACCACCATGCAGGTGAGTTTACATATTTTTTTCTGCTTACTGGCTACATCATGTTCACTGAGTTCTGACTGATCCCAGCATTCTGCTGAGCTGCGTTGTTAAAACTCATTTCAGTAAGGCACTTGGAGTACAAACACATTGCACTGCTTTAGTCTCTCATTGGATTGAATAGAGGGATTAATAGTGTGCATAAGTTTAGTTAAGGGCCATAGAGCTTATTAAATTATTTAATTAACTTAATATGTCAATTGACTGAAATATTTTATTATTTCATCATATTTCAGTTTGCACCTTAAATATTTTCCAGTTCCATGGTCTGAAATTCTTAAATTCAGTAGATCAGCTATCAGCATACTCTGGCAGTAAATCCAGTTAACAACCTCCAGTTAGTATACCTAAGTAGTAGGTATACTAACTAGCTTTTAAAAAAAAATTAAAATTTTGGTTGTGTTTTTTGTTCAAATTGCAGCTTTTGCATAAACATCCATTTTTTTTTTCTTTATGCTGAGTCTTCTCAAAGTCACTGAATGTGTTTGGTGCCTATGAGCATATTCCAGTTCCTGTGTGTTGACAGCATTTGCACAATCATTGTCACACAGATTTTACCAGTTAAACAACCATGTAACTTGGATTTTCTGGCTGTGTGTTGCAGCCTTACAAGCATATGATGGCTTAACTTTATCTCACAAACAATAAGCATCACTGGTCTCCAAACAGATCAATTCATATCATGTTTTCTTGTAATGCTGTAAAACTGATGTCTGTTAGGAACAGTTTTTATCCTTGCTGACGGACTGCGGAATTTGGGAAGACAACAGTCCTTTGAGTTGCAGTCTCACTGGCTGTCCATGTTATAAATGTGGTCCTAAATGTTCAGGAAGAGAGTGTCAGCAGGAAGTATCTCTCTGCTTCTGTGGCCTTCCAAAGACAGGAGCTGTCAGATCATTTTATAATCAAAAAGATTTTTGTTATAAAATCCTGGTAGTCTAGTAAGTTACATGATTAAATCAATATGAAACTTTCTTTTGATTAGTTTTGATAATCAGTTTTGAACAATCTCAACTTCTGGCATGCAAAAACATTCTGTGGGAAAGAGCTACACTACTCAACTAACAATTTGGTTTAAAATTACCTATATTTGTTTATTCTGACCCAATCATAAGTCCATTTCATGCTGCCTGCATCTTTATTTGAAAGAGAATAAATAACTTTTTGCTATTCACCTTTTTTCATGCCACTCAGAATTTTATAGATCACTGATACATCCTCCCTCAGCCATTTCTCTTTCAGACTGAAAAGTCTTGCCCTGTCTGTCAAAAGGCTTCCTCAAGACACATCCCATATTTTCGGTCATCTGTATCAACTTTCACTGAATTATTTCTAGTTCTACTGTATCCCTTTTGAAGACAGGGAGTAGAATTACATGTAATTTTCAATTGTGGATGTGGTGTGGATTATTACAATGAATACTGTGTTTGGTTTTGCTTTCTGTTACATTTTTACATTTACTTTTCTTAATCCAAGTTTGTTCTCAGTTATTTCACAGGCTGTCCCAGATTAGAGTCAGTTGTAAATCTAATATGCATGCTTTCTGTCTGGTCATCCAGTCATAATCAAGACAGATTCTGTCCAGGACACAATGAAAATAGTGAAATAGGAATTTAGCAAGTTGCAAATGCTCCTTGATGCAGGCTTCCGTTTGAGCAGTAAACCTTTGATGATCACCTTCTCAGTATGGTTTTCCTGCTGTTCTCATACTCCCTATATATAGCTATGTTTAGACTGTCTTTCCCTAGCTTGCTTATATTGTATGTAACAAATATTTTTCCAAAATCAAGATCCAGGACATGCTCTACTCCCCTTCTATCAATACAAGCTCCTACTGTGTTCTGGAGTACACAGTATCCCTTCTTTTGACCTGTTAGCTACAGTGAAGGGGAGGAAGATAAAGGTTTTCTTAGCACGTTGGGAAAGTGCATGTATGTGCCAAAATAGTTTCCACTCTGTCTTTCCTTTTACCTCATCATTGCTGTAGAATCAGGAGATAAGAGCAACAGCTTAAGTTGAAACTCAAATTGCCGCTATAAATATTGTGAAATGATTATGCAAGACTATCCAAAATTTGGAAAAGCATTAAAGAACTTTGGTGTTTGTACACAGATGTTTAATCCTTGGAAAAAATCAATTAGGAAAAAAGTCATTGACCTGGAGTCTATTGCTGGTCTGGGCACTGGATTGAGAACTGAATTGGGCATTGCATACACTTGTCATCACTATTCAACACTACCAGTTTGATCTAGTGTCTTGTGTACTGAAGGAAGCAGCTTGAAGATAAGACTTGTAGTCACATCAAAAGTCAGGGCTGGGCTGAAGCTCATCTGTGCAGATGGGCACTCTCATTCCTCCAGACCTCTTAAGACAAAATGTTACCCAGAAGTGTCATGCATCTAGAATCAGTGCCACAGAGAGGAAAGGAAGGAGCAGAAGTCCTGCTTTTGGCCTGCACAAGCTGTTAGGTTAATTGGGTCATCTGATGTAACTGTACACTTGGAAACCTTTTAGGAGTATGCCAGATACTCCTCGGGTGGCAGTAAATGCACCTCTGCTCATACATCAGATGGAACATCAACATGAAGAAATGTGTCTAAATGTCAGAAATGCATTTTTTACTTGCACCTTCCCATAGCAAAAAAATTAGTGCAGTTGCCTAAGCAGCCTCCTGTTTCATTGACATAAGTGGTTTGGAGCTTGAGACTTCAAAATTGTGCAAAGGGAGAGATACTATTGTGGCCATTTTGCTAATCAAAAAACTGAAATTAGGTGCTATGATGGTGATTTGCTTCTTATTATGTTAGTATAAAGTCAGCAGAAGTGCTAGGAAAAGAGTATGAGTAAAGC